TGGGCAGCTCTGCGCTGGGCTCGCGCCAGATCCAGGTCAGGTCCAAGACTGGCGTGGTATCCCCCGTGGTGTGGATTGGCGGCGCTGGTAGCGATGGCTTGTCTGGTCGGCTTGGCATGTCGGGTCTCCTGCAGTGCTATGACTGCGGCGTTGTGGTCGACACCAAGAGCGGTGATGGTTGGCCAATTCGCTGAGAGACTGGTGATGTTAAGGCTGACGAGGTGTATGGAGCGACCTGGCCCGTCTCCATCGGTGGAGCTGGGGTTTGCACGCCCCGCACGGTGTCAGCCTGACCCTCGCCCAGGTAGAAGGCTTGGCCACAGTAGGAGCTCATGGCGTTCCTATGGATTAGCTTGACCGGGGCTGAAGCCGCCGTCAGGCCAGAAGTATAGGCGGGACATGGTCGGCACTGCGCCAGGGGGGGTTCATAAACGTCAGTAAAACTGTCTCGAAAAATCCTCCTCACTCCTGTACCATAGGGGACGAGGGGAGGAGAGGTGAGACGGCAGCAGAGGGAGAGGGAGGCGACTCCTCGATCCGTCCTGCCGAACACAAAAGCAAAAGCGAACCAGCGGCGGCGGCTAGGCGCGGCAGCGGCACAACGCACGCGCATATACTGCGCACGCGACACCGCTGGTCCGTCCTGCGGTGGCGCGCCCGCCCCGTCAGTATCTTGATGAGCAGCATCTGGTGGAACAGCTCGAGCAGCACGGTCGGAGGCCTGGCGCTGGGCCTCGTCCATGCCCGCTGCCGTGAGGCCCACGTTGCGGACAGGGCTGATTCCCCGCGGGGCCGCCGCTGCCGCGGCAGCGGCTGAGGTGGCGGGGGCTCCGCCCCGACTCTGAGGTGAGAGCGGTGAGCCACCGCCGAAACCCGCCACAAGGTTCTTGACACGATACTTGTTCTTGAACGGGTCGAAGGTTGGCGCCTCGTCGATGGGGACGATCACGCGGGTGGGCAGCGGCGGCTCGTGGTCCGTGGACGGCGTCGGCTCGAGGTCGACCTGGCCAGGTTCGATGACGCTGGCACCGAAGCGTGGCACCACTTCGGGGGCTCGGCCATCAGCCTGAGTCTCGCGAGGCGGCGAGCTCGTGGAGCTCCCTGGGGCCTTGCGTGAGCTGTGGCGGCTGCAGGTCCTGCTGCGCGGGACGCGCCCGCCCGTGTGGCGGTCGCGTGGCGAGGTCGCCTGGGCATTTGCGCGCTCGGAATCCGCCCTGCTCGGGGATCGGATCGGCGCCGCGCAGGGTGATGGGCTGGGCTGGCGAGAGGCGCTTGTGCCGCCCTCCGCCGTGGCTGTGGCCTGGTCAGGGTCAACAGCGTCGGGGCGGGGGCTGACGCGGTGGGCGCTTCCCTCGCTGTGCCGCGGGGAGGCGCTGTGATGCGCCTGGATGTACGTGAGGACGAGCGGGGCAAGCGGCTGCCTCTCCCGCTCAGGTGGGGCAGGTTTTGCCTGGGCAGGGCGCAGCGCTGCAGCCACGTTTGGCGGGGGCGTGTGCTGGCGCGGTTGCCAAGCGCGCACGTTCGCATCACGCCATCCTTCGGGGCGCCCAGTCCTGCCACGGTTTGTTTGAAAGACGATTCAGACGCCCACACCCGGACAACGAAAAAAAAACTAAAAAAAAATACCTGCACGGTGTTTTGCTGTTGTGCCAACAAGCGCGCGAGGGTTACATAGCCTTTTGGCGAGATGTCTATTACTCGCCCTATTGGGCGGTTTCCTTGGCAACGCGCGCAAGGCGCGCGCCCGTCAACACCTAAACGCTCGTTTTGTGCACCACGCTCATTATGATATAATTGGTTGAGAAGGCGATGCCCGACAATTGGGAAACAAGTTCGCGCAATGACGTTTTCACGCTGTGTTGTCGGATGTGGTGAACGCACAGGGAACAATTGTCCCTTCCAGCCCCTATACGACCCTGGCCGCTTGAATGGTAGGCTTGGTTCAATGGCCAGCGGGTTGGAGCTTAGACGACGATATTAGTCAGCATTTATTGGGACTCCGTTGAGGCTATTTTTTGTGATGGGCGCAGACAGCAAAACTGCGACATCGGCAGCGCCGTGCGATTGCGCATGCCATTTGGCTGTTGGCTGTTTGCCGTGGCCGCAACAATGCGGAGCGTGACGTCCGCCACCAGGTGCGAAAGTCAAAAATCCTCCGTACGTCCTCGTCCCTGCTCCCTTTCCTCGTCCCTTCTCCTCGCCCGTGTCCTTTTCATTCTCCTCCCCCTCCTCCGCCCCCTTCCCCCCGTGCCCCCCCGCTCCTGCCCCCGAACTCGCCGTTCTCCCGCTGACAGCAAGATTAGCTCGACAATCGAGCTCGAGCAGGGGCGATCAAAGGGGAACAAACTCGCGGGCTTGTCCGGCCAAGGACCTGGAACCAGTCTCCCGTTGTAGAGAAGTACGTCAATGCGTGAACACGTCCACGTGGCAATGTCAACGAACACGACGCCAGGGTGGAATCGGCTGCATGCGTTACATCATTCGCAGAGAAGGTACGGAACATAAAGAGCCATCCGGGATCAGTTGTACGCACGATTGCAACACATAGTCCACATCTCGAGTACTGATCCTAGGCAGCGACTCCCTTTACTGTCTATATGGAAGCAAGGCCGGTCGGTACAAGGTCAGATGAACATATGTGCGTCGGGTGACAAGGTGTTCTTGCACTCTGTCGAGATTGCGCTGTATAGTAGCCGCTACGGATGCGTCAAACGGACCTGCCGACCACGAGGGGTGAAGCAGGCCAACACAAAGCTCGAGTAAAACAACTAATGGCAAGCAGGGCAGCTCGCGAGCTACAGCCGCGGACACTGGCTGTTTAAGAAATGTGTTTTGCATGCGATGGTGCTTCGCCTTCCCCCGCAAGGGCCCCGCGGCGACCAAGGAGGCCCTCAGAAAGACCATGACGTCCGATAGTGCAATTTCGACGTGCATGGGGCGGGCCCCTGCAGACAACCCGAACAGGCTAAACACGAAGGGGCATGTGGGAGGGCTGGGAAAGGGGAGCCGGCGTGGAAGCCTCAGGGGACCTCCCAACGAACGCCTTGAAGAAAGGATCCAGGGCGCACCTCACCCCATCGCCCAAAGCTCGCGAGCCAGGGAAATACACGACGCCAGCTGGAGAATTGGACGAATTTTTTGGACCAGTCGCGGAGGCCTGCAAGGCCGTCTGCTGAGCATGTTTGCCGCGCAGTTCCAACAATTTTGATTTCAATTGGGCCTCATGATGGCTCAGGAAGCCGTTGGACGACCCAGGATGCACCCAAGAGGGCTTGGAGCTTGCCCGAAAAGGCCCCTGGAGGCACCCAACACGGCCTAGAAAGACCCCTGGACGGCTCCAAACAGCTCCACGACGGCCCTAGGCAACCCCCCAGACTGCCACGAGGGCCCCAAGAGAACTCCACGACCCAAGTCGGCCCAGGAAATGCCCAAGACCGATAAAAGTGAGCCCCAAAGGACCGCCAAGACTGGCCCACGGGAGCGCAGGACGACCCCAACACGGCCCACATGAGGTCCACGAGGGCTCCTCGAAGAGTACCAAAAAAAGCGGTGCCACATGTGAGCCAGCGTGGGACCCACACAGTGCGGTCTAGCATGCTATGTGGTGCAATATAAGTGGTGCAATCTATGTGGTGCAATATATGTGGTGCAAGCTGCGTGATGTAATCAATGTCGAGAAACATATGTGGTACAATCTACAATCTATGTGGTCATGTGGCGCCTGGGTTTTTTCCCACACAGTGGGATAGAAGCTCCCTGACGCACGCGTGCCGCACGCATAAGCGGGCAACCAGCCACGTTGAACGCTGGCGTCGGGGAGGGGTGCCGCAAATGGAGCGGGCCATGTGACGAGGGCTGCCTCTCTGCACCTCTGCCACGCGATAGCGACGGGGAGGGGTATCGTAAAATAGTGGCACCCCTGTGAAGAAAGTAGCCTCTCTGCACCCACGCGGCGCGATAGCGGATGGGCCGGCACGCCGGAATCAGCGGATCAGCTGGCACACCCAGAAAATAGAGGAGGCGGGATGGGGCGGCGACCTCAGGTCGAAAAAGCCGCATCTTTGATGATGCGAAATCTCTGTGCTGCGTATCTTCCGACTCGGCGGTTTCGCTGGGACGCTGGGCAGTTGGCGTGCTTTCGTTCAAAACCTCAGGGGTGCGGACCACTGGACGGCCCAAGAGGCCCCCAACACGGCTCCAAGAGCGGGCACAAAATGGGGGCCCGAACGGACATTTCGAGCCCTCGGCCCAAAGTAGGCCCCAGGAGGCCTCAAGAGGACGCAAAGAGGCCCCCAAAAAGTCCCAAGAGGCCCCCAGGAGGCCCCAAGAAGCCCCCAAGAGGCCACCAAGAGGCCCCCAAGAGGCCTCAAAACTGCTCCCCGAAGGCTTCCGAGAGCTGCCCAAACAGAAACCCCCAGAAGCATCCATGAGGACTCTGACCCACAACCCAGGCACGGTGGCGGGATGGGCCGAAGGCCAAATAGACAGCCGTTGAGCAAGTGACATCCTTTCGTTCAACGCTCTGGGCAGGTGACTTCTTTTCGCTACAAACCCACCTGTCTGGACGGGGTCACGGGTTCCGCGAGGCGCCAAGTTTGCGCATCGATACCACATCTTGCATGTCCGTTTTCTGGTTGGATTTTTGTCCTGCCCGAGCCCGGGGCTATTGCTGGTTTTCGGGGCGACGTTTTGAACCGTCGATTCGGGGAACACGTGACCCCTCCCGTCTAAATCCTATTACCCCCGCACTCCTCTCCCTTCCGTTCCTCCTCCACCTCCCTCCCTCCCCCCTCCCCCCTCCCCTTCCGACTTCCAATGCTAAATGTACATGGAAACGTGTGCGCCAGTGCGTATGCACCAAGACAGGCAGGCAAGGGTAGACCAGGCAGGTGGTGTAGTAATGACATGGACGCCATCAACAAGAATTGCATTTCTGGCGAAACGCTCCCAACGCAGCTCCCCGCCGCGCGGGTCTCTGGGCGGCGCCCCGAAAGTAGCTCTTATGAAAAAATCCCCTTTATGGGGCAGGCGTCGTCGGGAAGGCCTTTCGCCCCCAAGTACTGGCGCCAGACCCCCTGCAGAACCTCCCGGCACGCGCCTACCTCGCCCCACTTGTTCCAAGAGCGAGATATCCGAGAGTGCGGTGCCAGGTGCACCTGCCAGCTGCCGCCCTTCGACCTCCAAACGTATGCTGCTGGCGGCAGCCTGGCCTGGACGTAATCGCGAGTCAACTCGGACTCGACAAACTTAACGTCCTTGGGGAGTCCGGGCATCGGCGGCAAAATGCCGCCCTTACCCTTGCCGCGACCTGCCCCCTTGCCCGCGCCAGCCCCTCCAGGGGCCTTGACCTTCTCATGTTTTTGTTTCCACTCGCGCAGGAAGGACTTCCTGACCTCGTCGTCCTTCTCGATCTTGCCCTTGACCTTCTTGAGTTCGGCCTTGTCCTCCTTTGCAACGATGTCCTCGAGGCCGTCCATGCCGAACAGAGAGGTCAAGTCGTCGTCCTTGACCTTCATGCGTTTGAGCAAGATCTCCAGCGTGTGATTGTCCTCCAGCCCCGTACAATGTTGTACCAGGCGAAAGAGGACATCGAAGAGTGAGCTCTCGGCGCTCACACCCAGGCCCTTGATCTCGCAGATCTTGACCAATATGTGCTTTGGGATCTTGTAGAAAGCCTGCAAGGCCGCGAGCCGCAGCAGCGGCTGCGCGCCGTCGCCGTCAGACGCTTGCACGAGCAGCCTGGGGGGGATATCCTTGAAGGAGTCGCCGTCGCCCTTGGAGCGCAAGTGCCACAAAGGGGACCGGACGCTGAACACCATTCCCTCGAATCCGTCATCCGCGGTCATGAAGAGCCAATGCATGTGGTTGCCGTCGCACTCGAGGTCGGGGACGAAGAACCTACCAGGGCCAGCGTCTGGAACGATGCGCCGTATCTCTTCGTCAACGCACTTGGCCGGCCAACCAAGGGCCCCATCGCCGGAAGCGAACATGCCAAGTGAGAAATACCACTGCGCAGACCCTGTCTTCCTCACCAAAATCGTGGGCCCATCAAGTAAGTAAGACCACCAGGTAGAATCCAAGCGATGCCATTGTTTGTTTTCGCCGCACAGCTGGTCCACCATCTCCAGCTCGACGTAACGCTGGGGAAAATTCTGAGCTGATGGTGAATACCACGACGCCGAGCTGGCGTGACCAGGAATCGCCAACATGTTCAAAGTGGCATCCTTGGCGTTGCTGTGGAAGGCCTCGTCGGGCAGCTTGCGGTTTTTAGGTGGGACAACGTTGTGGTACTTCACTGGCTTGTACTTGTGCACGCTTTGGATAACCTTGCGTTGCACCAGGACGCTGTGGCGGCGGATACGGGACACCAGTCGGTTCGATCCCTTCTTCTCGCCGCGGCGCTGCCTGTTGAAAGCGTCCTCTGTGATCTGGGTAGAAACGATGCCCGAATAAGCCTTGTCAGCCCAGGCTCTCACGCGATCGGTAAGTTGCCACGTCTCCTCTTCCATGATTCGCACGAGCTGCAGGGACGACGCCTCGGTGAAGACGCTGTGTTTCACGCACGGGTTGCCTGGCTTCACAGCCTTCAGAGCCTTGAAATTCTCCCAATCAGCTTTCAGACGATCGCGGGTAGCCTCTGCCACATGGAGTGGCACCTCTGCGGTGCAAGGGGAAATGCGAGGACGACGGAAGGGCGGAGGAGGGAGAGGACAGGGATGGGGAGCGACAGCAGCATGAGCAGGAAGGGGGAAATGGGACGAGGAAGAGAGGGGGCCTGAGGAGGAGAGGGAGGCCGAGGAGGACCATAGAGATGATAGAAAACGCAAAATGGGATCGAGGAGCTTGCAAGTACAAGCACCTTGGTCCCGAATAAACAACCTCTCGCTGGCCATCCCCGCAAGAACCACATGCACCTCCGCAGCCGGCATCCGGCCAGGTTGAACGCCAGTCGCACGGCCAGCTCCGCATGGTCGTTGTGCATGGCGAACAAAGGATGGTTCACGTCGAGCCCGCCGATGTTCTCCTTGACGTACGCCGGATTTAGAATCATATCATCCATAGCTTTGGGGTCAAAGAATACGCCGAAGGCATCCCGCACAGAGGGCACGAAAGCATCGTGGCATTGACCCTGCAACCACGACAGATTACTCTCGCAAGATCTCAACGTCTTGTTCTGTTCGGAATGCCACCCCATGGCCGACGAGCAGACGAAGTCAATCAGCCGGGACTTCATCAAGTTCTCCTCGTCTCCGTAGATAACGGTAGCCACGTGCAAGGAGTTCTCGCAAACTTGCCACAACTGCTTCAAGGTGACCTCGCCTGCCTGGACGGGCTGGTCGCCATCATCCTCCACGTCCGCGTTCGCCACGAGCGGGGCTTTGAAGGTTTGCGCGAACTTCGACTTCTTGAACTTCCCACTGGTGATGCCCCAGTACAGACAACCAATCAGCTTCTTGTGCCAATCTGCCTTCTCCTCGTACCGAAACTTGTACAAACCGCCCATAAAACGATTCAGACTACATTTAGCGCCCTTGCGCCGGAAGCATGCGCTGTCGGCAAGATCGCCGAAGATCTCCTCTGCAATGCCCTTCTCTTTGTACCTCTCGGGGCAGCCCATATCGCGCAGGATCGCCTCCAAGTAGTAATTGAAAATGGGGCAGCCTTCTGCGGTCGCAGACACGCTGCAATACTCAGAGACGGCCTCGCGCACTTCATGCCAAAAACGGCTCTCATCCCAAGGCCCGTGGAAAGAGTTGAAGGCCGTGATCTGCATCAGGAAGAACGGCCAAAGGCCCGTTTGCTGCAAGGCCAAACGGATATCGTTCCAGTTGCCATGGTTCACATCAGGCGCCTCGAAAATGTTCACCTGTTGAGAGCGGAGCCAACTCAGACAGCACAGACCATCGCTCCCCATATCGCTGGCCACTGTCAGACGCGGCCAATGGAAAGCAGAAGGGCGATCGGCCTCCCGCTCCGGAAGCTGGAACCTGGCCAGACCTGTGTCTGTGGCAACCTTCAGGGCGTTGTCAACCGACACCCCCCACTTCATAGCCTTCGTGCCTTGGGGTTTGGAATCCCACCGCCTTCTGAGGCTTTGGCAGACAAACTGCAGTCAAGAGGATCTGGGCCACGTCCGCCGCATCTGGCAGCGCAGCCGCCCAGCTCCGTAAGATATCGATGCCCATCACGTTATCACTACCCCTCCTGGACAACACCTCTTTTAGCTCAGAAGTGTTGGCAACTCCGGATTGCACTGCCAGGTGTACCGGCCGATCCCCTACCAATCGAAGCGGTGGATCCCACGATACGTTTGCATCCAAGAATATCTGCACAGATACATCCCGAGGCAAAATCTTGAAGAGGCCGTTGACTGTATCGCCCACACGATGAGCCTCCGCGTCGTGTTTCAGACCACCCCGAGCACGAGGCAAGCCGCCTAGCCGGGCACACACTGCAAGGAACGCATGCGTTGACAGGCTGGGTTTGTCAGCGGCTCTCGGATCAGCAGCCTCTGAGATGGGCGTGCCATCACTTCGAGGTAACCCTCTGCGAACGTGAGCTGCTGGGAGACAACAATGTTTGGTTGCATACTGGGACCACTGCGGGAATAGCGACTGCACCCAATTGGCTTGGCTCCCCCGCGACGCGATTTTGCACACAGCGTGCAAGTCGCCGACGTCCCACCACATGCTGGCGCCATCGCGCCGACGAAACAGCGCAACACCGAGGTCCTTCAGGTCCCCGTCGCTCTCAATGCAGGCCAAGAGGTTCAAGTGCTCTTCCCAATACTCCCTCAGATCTTTGCTCTTGGAGCCTGCGCCCACGAACTGCCGGCCATCGAGAATGTAAACACCGAGTTTGAAGAAGTCTTGCACCCAACACTGGGTTGCCTCCTCGCCCTCGCCAGCCGAGATGAAGGCCTCGCCCGAGCCGTCCTCGAAATGCAAGTCCCACTCCCCCGCGGCCACCTGCTCGAGGAGGACCCTCTCCTGCAGCAACATGTGGCATATGTACTGCCTGCCCCCGGACTCCTCGAGGCGGACAACGCCGACGTGGCTGGCCAAGACAGCTTCCTCGTCCTCTGCTGGCAATGCGTCTGCCATGACAACGCGGTGGAGTGCCAGACTCGATGAAGCAGCCAGAAGCCAAAACGGCTAAGGAAAAATGAGATCACTCATAGTGCAATCGATATCAGACTCTGTTTTAATACTGGGGAGGGCGCGCGTTGTTTCATCGGTTTGATGTGGATTCCGACACTGTCCCTTGCTGAAGGGCTCCATCACTTCGCTGACGCAGGCCCTGGAGAAGAAAACACGACAGCGGATGGCAACAAGAAACTATGGCCTGCCCCCGCAGTGCGACGGCGATTCGCAAAACATGGCGAATCGCCGTTGCTGAAGAACTGTTCATCCCAGGATCCAGGACAAGAAAGACGCGACCGCTTAGATTGCCAGGGGGCTTCCCAAAGCAGATCGCACGACGCCGTCCATGGAAGAACGAACAACTTTACTTCCGCAGGTCTCCGCGCAGATGCCGCCGGCACCCCATGGCTGCGGCATCGAAGCCGTATGCAAAAAAGTACCGCGGGCAACTGATGTCTGTCCCGGGACCGTGGTTCCAGAGTTCCAAGCCCTGGGCTCGGAAGGGGCTTGATTAGTATTTGTCCCTGCCGCGTGGCCGATACACATGCGGCTGCGACGCATAATGTTTTTTTGTTGTACCTGGCCATGATTTTATTTCCGTCTCTCCTAAAACAAAGCCTACAACGGCCGTGGGGCTCGTCGGGCCCGCGGGGTTCATCTGGGGGGAACTCCGGTCCCTGGGAAAGGGTCGAGAGATCCAGGGGGCCCGCGTCGCGAAGAGACCGTGGTGCCGGGTCTGGATATGGCTTCCACCTTGCTGTTCTCCCATGCACCCTTAGCTTCGTAGCGTCGCACATGGTGGCGTTGGGAAACGCGGAGGGGGAGCAGGAAAGGAAGGGGAGGGGGAAGCGGGGAAGCGGGGAAAGGAGGGGGGATGCGGAGACGCACAGGGGAGGAGGAAGAGGAGGAGGTGCGCAGGATTCCCGGGGGGGGGCACGCTTTGTGGCACCCAAGGGGGCGCAACAAAGTAGAACCAAGGCGGTCGTGCAACCTTCGATTGCGGATGGGCCGACCCGCGCCAAGCATGCGATTGCGGATGGGCCGGCACCCCGGAATCCCATCTTCCACAATGGCGGAGAAATAAAAAAACACTCATTGTTGTCGCAATTTCGTGCGATACCGAATGTTGTCTCTCGAGCGTGTTTTTTGCACATCCCCAATACAAGCAAGGGCAGTGACGGGCACGAAATTGTCACGAAACCTCTCCTCCCAGTATGCTATGACTGCTGTGCTGCACATGCACGCGGGCACGAAACTGTCACACAACCTCTCTTTCAAGTATGCTATGACTGCGATGCGAACTGCTATGGCGCCTCCCCCCCGCATGCGGGGGGGGGGATCTTTGACTTGTCCGAATCCCCTCCGAAGGGGGGACCCCGTTTTGTGAACTCGGCCGGCTCCGCCGGCAGTCCCACGCACCTACTCCGGCACCCCTCCCCCAGCAGGTGGCGGTGGGATCTTGTTGCGAGTTGGCAGGTACACAGAACACATACGCCCTGAAACATCACAAAGGATATCACTGAGCACATTGCCAATTGCAATGGGAACGTTAGCCAGCACTGACCCCAAACAGTGCACTCTATCATACTATGCTGTGCAATCGCTGTGGTGCAATCTACGTGGTGCAATCTAGGTGGTTTGAGCTACGTGGTGTGAGCTACCTGGAGCAATCTATGTGGTGCAACCCATGTGCTGCGCTCTATGCGGTGTACTGGTTGAAACCATGTAATACAACATATGTGGCGCAATCTATACACCGACGGCAGGCGGCGACAGGCGGCAACAAGCGCGGCGAGCAATTGCCATGCCCAGTAGCAGTGGCAACGGGCGCCGCCCTGCGGGGACTGCTCAGGCGGTCGGCATGTCTGGAAGGTTGTCCATTCCCAGGAAACCCGTCGGTACAAGTTTGAACCCTTTTTTTGTGTAAGCCTGCGTACGGCCGGACCAACAATCAGGCCCAGTTCCTCAATAGGGAAATGCAAAAGACGAGATGCAAGCATTGTTTGGGGAATCATCCGAACCAATTTTCACGCTGGCAAGACGAGCCACCGATGGTTCACGACGCTGACGGCCGGCAGGCAAGGTGAGCAGCGCCTAATGGAACCCCCTCTGACAAATAAGCTACAGCGGCAACCCTGAAAAGAGCTGGAGTTACAAGGCGCCATCCTCCTCTCCCACCCCCTCCTGCACTGATCCCTCCCCCGTCCCATCCCCCCTTGCACCCCCGACCCCCTATCCAGCTGATCTCGCCGCCGGTCAAAAGAAAGCCCGCAGTCTAACGGCGAGCCTGGCCCATGGGCCCCATTATTCGCATGGGCAGGCTACAGAAAACCTACGGCAAACACTGCGTTGAAGCAGCAAGCAAGCACATCACCGACGCTTCACGGTGATTTTCCGGACAGAAGCCTTGGCAGGAGGTTTGGGTGCAGCCTTTTTTGGCTTTTTCTGGACAGCGCCCTTTGCATCGACCTTGGGGGACGCCGCCTCGTGTTCCAGCTCCTGCTGTTCCTTGGTCGCCTTGTGCTGGTCCGCAAGCTTCTTGAAAGCCTCGTTCCCGAACACTTCGGCCGACAGCTTGAACGGATCAAACTGCGTCGAAAATGTGCAGGCGAACATGCCCCTGAAGATGCCAGCATCCTGGTCGCTGAAATTGTTGTCAATGGGCCACTCGGGACGAATCGTGGCGTCATCTGGCACTGGCACCTCGGCAGATGAGAGTAAAAAGACACGCCTGCAGGACGCCAGCAACGCCGTCATTGCAGAATGTCACAGCACGGAGCACTGTCCGCATCAAACCAAAATGGCACCACCAGCGCTGACTCCAAATCAGAACTCATAAGAAAAGTCAGCAGAAAAGCAGGCGATGACGAATCGCCCTGGCATTTTGGAGCTCGGCGGAATCTTAGGGGCTTGGCGGCCCGACGGGGCGCTGGAAGGCGAATGGCAGGCATGGTGGACTGCATCGTGTGTTTTGGCTTGGTGGATTATTTGAGGCGCACCGACCCGCTGCGCTGCCTCGGATGTTGGGACCTCCGAGTTTATTTCTGGCAGCGCACGCGCATAACACGAATGCTGCGCGGCACGCTGCATCAGAACAAGAATCGCGTGGGGGGTGCACGTTCCACGACTGGTAAGTCGCACGAGAGAGAACACGTTCGTGCGATTGAAATGGCACGGTGAATTGAGAGACGCACGTACTTGGAGATGTGACCTGGGGGGCGCGTCGGAAGCTAGCGACGCACGGGCGGCATGAATAATACTGTCACCGCCCGAAACCACAAGGACAACTTGGAATAATGGGGAAGGGTAGTACTGTTGTTTCTTCAGGGGCCCGTTTGGGCCAACTCGTTTTTACAGGCGCCGGACCCTCGACGATCTACCATGCCGCGGGCCCCAGGCCAACCGACTCGGATCAACAAACAATCAAACGCGTTGCGACCTCCACACCATGCCCCCCCCACACGACGGCATATGGTCCAGAACAACGGGCAACAATGCAGAATCCAAGCGAAACGCGTGAGCAGAGTAAGAACTCCAATAGGCGCCCAAATGGAGAGACGGTCCAACCATATATCACGACGACGCGGGGCTATCTACTCTGATTTGCCACGCGTGACACCTGCACGCCTGCGCGGTTCTGCAAGTGCGTCACCTTGCCAGAGCCGTCCAGCACGTACACGTAGGCGCCGCACTTGACGTAGTTGATCTGGCCCGTGGCCTTGTCGATCGCCCCAGCGGCCATGAGCGCCAGCAGCCTCTTGCCCAACGTGACGTGCAGGGCGGCCAAGGTCGCGGCGAGCACACTCTTGTCCAAGCATGCGCGCGGGAGCTTCGCTGAAGCCTTGACTCCAGTGGCGAACTCGACCAAGCACCTCAGAGCATCGGGTGCTTGCCCATCGATCTTCCAGGCGAGCTCTTCAGTGAAGCCTTTTCCCCCGTGCTGCACCAGCCATGCGACAAGCCAGTATTTGCCAATCTGACTGAAGACATGGTAGCTGCTCGGCCAGAAGTCGCGATCTTCCACCTTCACCGTGAGATCGGCGCGGGAGAAGAAATCGTTCTCGATGGCATCCAGAACGTCCTGCGCCTGGTCCGGTTTGGCCTGCAGCGCCTTCACGATCTTCTGGATGCAACGGTTCGCACGCAGCTGCTGCCAATCCCGCGAGAGATCCTGTTGGGACTTCACGCGGACGGTCATCCCGCGCCCACGCTGCGGCTTGGACTGTCCCGTCATCGCGAGATGACCTGCGCTGGCTTCAACAGGCCGGAATCTAGCGCCTCGAAAAGCCCTTGAACCCAAACTGCTGCAGAGCGACGCCCAGGTCACCAGACGACGCGCCCAAAGACGAAGAGGTGTGATGAGGAAGAGGAAGAGGGGAGATCGAGGGGAGGGAGAAGACGGGAAGTTTTCTGTTGGCATACGGAGCGGCATGTGCGACGCAGCACAGCACGGCGCGGCGCGCAAGGCACGCGCGGGCGCGGCGCACAGCACGGCACGGCATGAACCTACACAGCACGGCACGCCGCGGCACGCGCTGCGCAACATGCGCGGCAAAGCACTGGCAGGACGGCGAGCGGCGCGGTAACGCATTGCACGGCGAGCGCTGCGTGGCGGGGAGGCCACTGCGTGACTGGCACAACCAGAATCTGCATAAACTCGACATTTGCCGTCACGTAGAACAGTTTCGGGCGCGAACGCACATGTCTGAAACTGATTGGCACGAGCAGGTGCAGATAAGACGCGCCAGCGCAGTCTCAGTCAAGCGCAGAATGAGGACCGCCCCTCCAATTCAAACACAACCACAAGAACAACGGGTGGCAAAAATCCCTTCGGGACGCCGCTGACATCAAACCGGACTGACATCAACGCGGCACTGTGGCCGGCCAACCTGGATTAACAGCCCGCGCAAAATTTCATCGCGAGCGCGAAACCGCTGTCGCGCCTCCCGCACGTCAAACACCGCAATGCTCGAAGGGACGTTGTCCGGTCGAGGCGCGCCCCAGCGAGGAGCCAGCACGCGCCGATGTGAGGGGGGAGGGTTGGCGACGGGGACCTATCTACAACGCCAGCCCGACAGGAAAGCGTCGGCGAAAAACACCTCCAGAAAGCGTCAGTGTGGGTGTGGGTGTGATTTCCGACAGTGATTGTTGCAGCCCCCTGGGCTGAAGCCGCAGGGGTTATCACTGCGGGCTGGTTGCTGGAGGTGCCATCATGTCGGCCTGAGTAATGGCCCCAGGCGCGCGTGGACCCTGGCACGGGCGAGGTGGCCCTTGGGAGGGCCTGCACGGGTGCACGCGGGTAGCCGATGACCGCTGGGTGTACCCTGGCGTGGGGGGCGTGGCCGTAGCTGGAGGCAGCTGCTCCAGCAGCCGCGGGCCTGGCACCTATGGGGCCACGGTAGTAGGCGGCAACTCCGTCGTAGGCCGTGTTTCCGCCTGTCGGGACTCGCGCGGGAGAGCGGTAGCGTGGCGTGCCCGGCTGTCCTGCGTCACGTTGGTCGCGCTGCTGAATGCGCTGCTGGTGCTGTTGTGTCGCTGCCAGTCGGCTCTCGAGAGGGGGCGGGTGTCGGGGAGGATGGTGGGCACGTCGGGCCGCTGCCAGCCCCGATAGACGTGCTCGAAGGCGTGGTCAGGGTAGGTCCCCCCTACGGGTGAGTATCGCCGCACATGCTCCATGTAGTCGATGTTCTGCGGCTCGGAGATCGCCGTGATGTTGACGGCTCGCTGGTGCGCTGGTCCATAGAGGCAGAAACTACCACGGTTGCTGCGGTCGTGGTTTAGCTCGGCTTCGGTCGTGGCACGGCTCACCATGGCGTCGCAGAGTCGCATGTCGTAGTCGAGGGCTTGAGGCCCAGGACCACCCTCGGCGTCCCAGTACAGTACCACATCTCGCCAGCGGGTGCGGGTAGTGTGGATGCGCTCGGCGATCGACTCGCAGACGGTCCTGACCGTGACACGGTCCCTGTACATGTTGGTGATGGCTAGGGAGTAGGGTCGGCGGACCGTCTTGTTGAAGGTGAATTCCTCCTTGAGGGCCTGGTGGGGACTGAAGAGCACGTAGCCTTCCCTCCAAAGAGGTTGGTCGGGGAAAGGTTCTTCGGGCATCCCCGTTCCTGTGAATCCAGGTGGCCGCCTTGTGCCGTCAGGCAGTCCCTGCCTGGGGACGCGCCGCGGCTGCGGTGGGAAGTACCATTGACCCTGGTAACCTGCTTGCCCTGGTTGTGGAGGTTCCCCCCCGGGGCCTGAAGGCGCTCGGGGGGGTTCCTTAAGGTCGTGGAGGGCTGGCGCGTTGCCGAATTGGCGGGCAAGGATGTGCGGCGGCATCCCTGTGGCACGGACGTCGAGCAGGCTGTGTGGACTGGGGGGATGGGGGCACCTGCTGGACAGGCAGCATGTGTCGGAGTCCCTGTTGTTGGTGCTGTATGCACACGTCCAACTGTTGCACGAGTAGTCCGTGGACCAGTCCATAAGTGTACGCAGTCCGCTGCGGGCGCAGTCTGGGCACGTTGGTTGGCCCGAGGTGCCGAGCTGCGTGTTGCGGCGAGCCGCACAGTACTGACAGCATTGGAATCGACACTGTAGGCAAGACCAGCGTCCTGGTAGAGGCGGGAGCGCATGCTCGTTTGTGCCTGGGTCGTCTGGGTGGGGTCGCGGGCGATCCCACAAGGGCCAGACGTCAGCAAACCAGGATTGGCCTGTAGTGCGGACAACCTCGGCGGGGAGGCGAGCGTCCTCGGCGTGGCACCTGATCCACTGGGGCCCCATGTCCGCTGGTACCATGACGGTGCGCCAGGTGTCGTCCGCTTTGACGTGGACTTGGGTCGGTGCCCAGAGCTTAGTAGTGGTGTCGCCGTGGTCGTGGTGGAGGATGACCCAGCCGTCCCGCCCCGCCACCGCAGGGTCTGTAACGCGGTGGCCCATGACTGTCGTCCCCCACGGTAAGTAGGCGCCGTCGTGGTGATCACCAGGGTCAAGCCAGACCTCGATGCCAGGGGCATTGACACGGGTCCGCACATCACGGACGTGGTAGGCGAGGACGTGGTAGGCAGTCGGCTCCTCTTCCGTCTCAATGTGCTCCCACGTCTCGATGCCACTGTTGTCTGAGGTGGAATTTCCGCCACTCTGTCGTGACGAGCGAGAGGCAGATCGCCGTGGGCGGGCACGGCCTCGGGCGAGGGCGGCGGCCGCGCTGATGAGGGAAGGCGTACGGCGTTCGTCGGCTCCTGATGACGTCGATGAGCGGTCTGGACTGTGCGCCAGGGCTGTGCCTGACTTGTAAGTGCGTGGTGGGCCAGACGCGGCCCCAGGGCTGGAGCCGCTGGGGCGCGACCCGCGTGCGTCAGGATGCCCCCGCACGGGGACAGCTTGCAAGCCAGTGTACACCAGGTCGATGAGTGGTTTCGGGTCCAGCTGGAGCATGTGAAGCGAGACGCGTGGGCGGGGCTGGTTAGGGTCATCCCTGGTGGCTGCTTCAGTGTCGTAGTGCTGTTTGGCCCATACTCGCGCTGCCTCTGGCGAGTATAGTGCCTGCGGCGGTGGCCACGCTGCCGCGATGGCTGGTCTGCGCCTGGTGCTAGCTTCCTGGTCGTGAGCTTCAGCCGCCTCACGGAGATCTGGATGATCGTAGCCAGCGATGTGAAGGGCGTGCGCGCAGTCGCCCATGCCATAGGCGTGTGGTAGGGCACGGCACCTGGAAGCAGCTTCTGTGGGGGCGCACCAGTCCATGCGGATGAGGAGGCTCAGGACCCGAGGGTAAATGAGGCGCGCTCCGTGGGCCTCCCCTTTCACGAAGTTGTGCCTGTTTTCCCCGCGCGGTGGTTGGGTGGCCTCGCACATCCAGAGTGCGATGGGTCCCCACGCGAGGGTGTCGTCTTCGAGACTGTAGGGCGGGTGGGGCGGCATTGCGTACCACGCGGCCAGCGAAGGGTGCACGCTCGCGTACGTGCGGCCAACGTTGGTGCCAGTTCGGCCCTTCGCTTCACGGCGGGGACCTGGCAAGAGGTGCCCTCCACTGGCAGCAAGACGGGCCGCAAGGTCGCCGCGGGTCCCATGCCAGAAGACAGTGGGCGCGTCGGTGGTGGGTTGGCGGAGGTCCCACGTGAGGTATGGGAAGATTGTCTCGCCTGAGTTCCCGCCCGAGTCTTCCAGCACCCAAGTGAGGCGGTTCGGGGGCCTCTGCATGATGTCCGTCCACGGCCCCAGCGCTTGGAGTGTTGGATCATGGGTAAATCGAGGATGGTCGTGGAGTCGCAGAGCGTCTTTGATGTCCTCTGTAGACACGCCACTGTTACCAAGCGCAAAGCCGTTTTGATACAGGGCGTTAAGTATGCTCTTCGGCGGCACGGGGACCGCTGGGTCGCGCTGGATAGTGTTGCGTAAGTTGCGTGTCGGTGGCTTGAGGGCTGTGTAAGGCATACCAGGGCCTGAAGGCGCCTGGGGCCTGTCGGGTGATGCATAGCGCGCTCGCCGTCGTGGTGGTTGGGTGTCCGCGTCGGGGGAGGAACCACGAGCATCAGCATGTCGGAAGATGGACCACGGGCTATCGTGGGTGCACTCACGTGTTTCCCTTGCCTCGGTGTCGCTGCCGTGTGCTGTGGCATCCTCGTTGGTCGGTAGGCTACCGTATGCCGCGCCGCTTTTGGAGCCGTCTCGTGGAGACGGGCTGGTCGATCTTGGTGTGACAGACGAGGCTCGCGATACGGCGGCGGTGACTTCGACGATAGCGGCGGTGGTGGCGGTAGTGACATCGGCGACTGCGGCGGCAACTGCTGCGGCGTAGTGTTCCTGCAGCAGCGGATGTCGGAGTGCGTGCACGTGCTGGTCGTCGTGTTCGTCGGCGAGCGTGCACGGCATTGTGTATGTGGCCTCATCACGCGGCCTCCTGCTCGGTTGGCAACAGCGGAGGCACCACTGGGCTGTGGATGAGTCCAGGGCCCGCGCACAGATGCGGGCTCCTACGTGTCCGACAGCTCCTTGAGCAAGAAGTTTGGCACTGACGAGTAGAAGACCACACACGACTCCACCCGTGGCAATAGCCCCGAGCTTGCCGCTGGCCCATTTCAGGACACCCCCGAGGCCGACCCCGACTGCGGTGGCTCCGCCCGAGACGCTATCTCTGAGTTTGACGCTGGTCCATTTGAGAGTGGCCCACAATGCGGACGTGACGTTGTATGTCGTTGTGCGTCGGGGTGTGGTGGGCACAGATGGGCCTGGTGCCGTCGCTTTGCGTCGTCG